TCAGTGATCATCTCCAATTCCTTAACCGATCTAGAAGTAGAGAAGCTACTTTAGTCTTACGAGAACATAAGGAAGCAATTGGATGGACAATAGATGATATTCGGAGAATCAGTCCGTCATTTTGTATGCACAAAATACTGATGGAGAATGACTTTAAGCCATCAGTCGAGTATCAAAGGCGGTTAAATCCGAATATGAAAGAAGTGGTGAGAGCGGAAGTTGTTAAATTACTTGATGCACGGATTATCTATCCCATTTCTGATAGTCCATGGGTAAGTCCAGTTCAAGTTGTACCTAAGAAAGGAGGCATAACGGTAGTGGAAAATGAGGACAACGAACTCATACCCACTAGACCGGTGACTGGTTGGCGAGTGTGTATTGACTACCGCAAGCTAAATACTGCAACTAGAAAGGATCACTTCCCTCTTCCTTTCATAGATCAAATGCTAGAGCGGTTGGCAGGATATTCACATTATTGTTTTCTTGATGGGTATTCGGGCTATAATCAAATTCCAATAGCTCCGGAAGATTAAGAGAAAACAACATTTACATGCCCGTACGGTACTTTTGCATACACGAGAATGCCCTTTGGCATGTGTAATGCACCTGCTACGTTCCAAAGGTGTATGATGGTGATTTTCTCCGACATGGTGGAGAAAAGTATTGAGATTTTTATGGATGATTTTTTAGTTTTCGGTGCCTCATTTAATAGATGCCTTAACAATTTAGAGATGGTACTTAGACGATGTAAAGAGACCAATTTGGTTCTAAATTGGGAAAAGTGTCATTTCATGATCAAAGAAGGCATAGTTCTTGGCCATCGAATTTCTCTGAAAGGTATAGAGGTTGATAAGGCAAAAATTCAAGTAATTGAAAAATTGCCTCCACCAACTACAGTAAAGGGAATTCGAAGTTTTCTCGGACATGCTGGCTTTTACAGGAGGTTTATTAAAGACTTTTCAAAAATCACAAAACCTCTTTGTTCCTTGCTTGAAAAGAATACAGCCTTTAATTTCTCTCAAGAATGCCTTAATGCTTTTAATGCACTGAAGGAAAAGCTTCTCACGGCTCCTATCATCGCAGCTCCAGATTGGAATCTTCCATTCGAGCTGATGTGCGATGCTAGTGATTATGCTGTTGGAGCAGTTCTGGGGCAGATGAGAGATAAAGTCTCGTATGTTACCTATTACGCCAGTCGAACATTAACCGATGCGCAGTTAAATTATGCTACTACTGAAAAGGAGATGCTAGCAGTAGTATTTGCATTTAATAAATTTCGGTCATACCTCATTGGTTCCAAAGTAATTGTCTACACTGACCACTCGGCCATCAAATATTTGTTGGCAAAGAAAGATGCCAAGCCGAGGTTGATCAGATGGGTACTCCTCTTGCAGGAGTTCGACCTCGAGATTCGAGATAAAAAGGGAACTAAAAATGTCGTTGCTGATCATTTATCTCGTCTCGAGCAACTCGAAGATGTTTTGGAAGGTGAAATCAATGAGGTGTTTCCTGATGAACAGTTGTTGCAAATCATCCAGATTTTACAAGCCAATCATACACCATGGTATGCTGACCATGTGAACTATCTTGTTAGTGGCATCATACCCCCAGATCTTTCTTATCAACAAAGGAAGAGGTTCTTCGCTGATGTGAAGCATTACTTCTGGGAAGATCATTTGTTATTCAAACGGGGTCCGGATCAAATTATCCGGAGATGTGTGCTGGAGAAGGAAATGGAGAAAATACTTGAACGATTTCATTCTTCTCAATATGGTGGTCACTTTGGTGCTGTAAAAACTGCATCAAAGGTCCTTCAATCTGGTTATTATTGGCCCACCTTATTTTAGGATGCTCATACACTTGTCTCTAAGTGTGATCGATGCCAACGGACTAGTAAAATTTTCAAACGTAATGAAATGTCGTTGAATTCCTTATTGGAGGTGGAGATATTTGATGTTTGGGGTATTGATTTTATGGGGCCATTTCTGTCCTCATTTTCAAATAAATATATATTGGTGGTTGTAGACTACGTGTCAAAGTGGGTAGAAGTGGTAGCTTTACCTACTAATGATGCTCGGGTGGTAGTAAATTTTCTAAAAAAAAATATTTTCTCGCGCTATGGCACTCCCCGAGCCATCATTAGTGATTGTGGTAAACATTTCTGTAATCGCCTCTTCGACTCACTTTTGACCAAATATGGAGTGAATCATCGAGTGGCCACTCCCTATCATCCCCAAACAAGTGGCCAAGTTGAAATATCTAATCGAGAGTTAAAGAGAATTCTCGAGTTGACGGTCAATGCATCAAGAAAAGACTGGTTCAAGAAGTTGGACGATGCATTGTGGGCATATCGGACTGCTTTTAAAACGCCGATTGGTATGTCTCCATATCGGGTTCTATTTGGAAAAGCATGTCATTTACTAGTCGAACTCGAACATCGGGCCTATTGGGCTATCAAAGCCTTGAATTTTGATTAAAATTGGCAGATGAGAAGAGATTGCTTCAACTGAATGAACTTGACGAAATCCACCTTGATGCATATGAGAGTGCACGTCTCTATAAAGAAAAGACAAAGAGATGGCATGATCAGCACATTGTGAGGCGGGAGTTTTTTGTCGGGCAACAAGTTCTTCTCCACATGGAGCGGTTGAGCTTCTTGATGAAGGAAAGGCGAATTTCAAAGTAAATGGTCACAGATTGAAACCATATTTGGGAGGTGATTTTGCTAATGAAAAATCCTCCATTCCTTTCAAAGATCCAGAATAACGATGTCCTATAGTCAAGCTAAGGACTATAACCAAGCGCTTGTTGAGAGGCAGCCCAACTGTTTTAACTCTTGTTTTATTTATTTACTTTTAATGCTTTTGGTTATTATATTGTTGAACTAATATATTTATTTTGTAGGAAATTTTTGATATCCCAGCCATTTCTGGATCTCCCAGGTTCTAGAACAATTCATGTGCAAAGAAGTCTTTGATTCAAGTGACTCACGTTCATCATAAGTCCAGCAAATGCATTGGTTCCACTTTACGAATGGCTATTCAGGGAAGTTTCCTTATTCCACTTTACTTTAGCTTGTTATTTACACATTGAAGACAATGTGTGAATTAAGTTTGGGGGTGATGAGCCTTGCCGACTATTGCTTTGCTAGATGTTAGAGCCTTGTCGGCTTTCCTTTTTTGTTTGTACATATTTTTTGTGTGTTATATCGACATGTTAGGTAAGCCTTGCCGGCTTTGAAATGCGTGATTTTGAAATTGTTATTGATTCATAAGCTATGCATGCGTGCCAAATATGCTATTATGTGTAAAAAATTTCGATTCGAAAATTGCTTATTCTATGTGGGATCTTGAGTTACATTGAACATAGTCATGATTAATTATCATTTAGATGTGGAAATAGCTGTTTATTGGAAAATTTGTGAATTGGTAAGAACTTAGGTTGTGAGTTACCTGAAACAGTATATCAACTTATGTCTTATTCTCTCTCACTTTACCTTGTACTATGAGAAATGTTGAATCAGCTAGTTTGTTATTTTCATTGAAGATGTAGTAACTGAATAGGGTGAACACAAAAGTTGGTGAGACTTTGAGCCGATAGACTGAAATTTATTACAGTCTCATCATTTCTTTCTGGTGTGACATTATTCCATGATTATGATTATCTAGAACTTGCGTTGCTTCTTTTCAAGATCACATTGATACATGTATACATGAAGATGATTAAGGCAATTTTTGTTACCACTTTAGCCAAATAGCTTACCATGAAATTACTTTTTCTTTTGATAACCCCTTTGAGCCTATTTGCCTTTTCTTTGGTTTACCCACATTACAAGCTTTCATTTCCAGAAAACAATATCTTTTTCCAGCCCTCAAAGCTAGTGGAGTGTTGTTGGTTTTATTGAATGTTGGGGTGAAAAAAAGAAGTTTGGGGGTATTAATATCATTTGAGGTGCTATGTTGGTGTATTTTTAAAAAAAAAATTTTGTTTGCCAGGGGAAAATATGTGGAGGAGATTGATTTTGAGTGACTAAATTTATAAGTTCTCCTGAGAGTTGAAAGAAGAAAAAGGGTGATTGTGCTGAATTGATGATAAGTAAGAAGTTATTGATTGGAGAGATAGGGTCGTGTACAGATCCTGTCTATGTTGAGCTGGGTTGACTATCTTTTACTCCACTGATTTATTTGAGGCTTCGTAGTCACTTATCCAAATGTTTCAACACCTTAACCTTAAGCCACATTTCAACCCTGAAAAGACCTTATGATTTATGTAATGCATGTGATCTAAGTGGTGACGATTGAGAAAATATGCAAGCTTATGGTAGAACATTTTCATTGGAATGATCTGAGCAAAACAATACCCAATCTTATACACTTGAGAGTGAGTGATCATACTATCTTGCGAGGTTCTACATGTTCAGTTACTTTATCTTCATCCGAGAATGCATGCTAGTTGAGTATTTTTGATCGATAAAGAAAAGAGTGTTTGAGAGAAATCTTTAGATTTACACTTGAGAAATGAAGTGGAATATCTGTATTTGAGTGTGAATCTTATGAGCAGGAAAGAATATATTTGACCACTAAGGGTCGGGTTGGTGCTAATTTAGAAATTTTACTATCTTGACAGCCTTTTCTTAGTTTAGATGATGATTGAAAATGGCTATGCACACACACACTGATTGAACATGGGATAAGCTGTAATTAATTTTTATAGCATTATTTGGAAGTATGGCTGTGAATTGATATACAATTTTGAACTCTATGACATTTATGGCAAGGTATCTAATATGTTGATCATTATTGCATTTGCATGATTATGTTAGAAGTCAATCTTGCTCGAGACGAGCAAAAGCTCAAGTTTGGGGGTGTGATAAGTGTGTTTTTGCACACTTATTTAGCATTTTTTGGGACTTAAAAGGTCCATTATACTACTTGATCGCTACCCGTGCACTTGTGGCGTGCCATTTAATACCGATCAATATACATAACTAGGTAAAAAATTTATTCATTATACTGAAAAAAGTATTAAGTCATGTTTAATTCAACTAAAAATTTGAATTAAAATTTCAGTCAATAATTAATTTTAATTATATATTTTATGAAATTCACAACTTTTTAATCATCATTTCATCAACTTTTATAAAAATTTGATTCTCATTCAAACTAAATAGGGTTAAGAACTTTTTTCATAAATTAAATTTTTCCTGAACTCGGATATTTTATCTGTGTTATCTACATTAATAAACTAAGCACCTGTTTGTTATACATTTTGACCACATTTCAAAAAAAAAAAAAAATTTGCCCGTTGAACACAACTGTGGGCCCCTACACAGTTCTTTTTTTTTTTTTTTACTCAGTACCTTGAAAATTTCCTGAAATGCCTCCTCCTTAACTTTGAAATAAATGCAAAAAAGGATAAAAATGTAATTCCATTTCTGGGGGACAATTAATGTGCGTGCTCATTTACTGTGTAACGATGCAAATTCTTCTACAAATGAAAATGAAAATGGCAACTAAACAGGGGCCAAGCTTCTTTTTTAGTTTCATTGTTTAAAAATTTATTTTTTCCTATACTCATTTTTTATTCCACATTCTCTTTATAAAATAATTTTACACTCTTTGATGACTAGGTCATGCATATTGAACCGAACATCTATTGACCGTGATAAAGATTTAATAGGTTTGAGGTGTTGGTTGCTGATAACATTACGCATCAACAGAATATGTACGTTTATGACTTCTTGTTGTTTACAAATTCTCTTTTATTATAGTGTGATTTTTGATATGTTACTCCGTGACTTTGTTTTCAACAATGATTGTGGCATCTTTGTGATTAAGCCCTCGTTTGAGCCCCATTATTCCTAGATTATAATGAGATGAATAGTATTTTTTTGAAAAATGAGTGGTTGAAAAGTTTTTGATTTACGTGTAATATTATTTTATTGAAGATTGTGTGGTTAAAAGTAGGAGAGAGAAAATTTTAGTTTAATGTAATGAGGAATAATGGGGGTCAAACACATGCTAAGTATGTATAGTACATGCTTTATAACGACATAAAGTCCATGTCGACAACGTTTGATGCTAGTCGAGTTAGGTTGGACATTGCTTCACAACTCTTTAAGTACAAAGAGATCAAGAAGCAAACAAAGTCAGTGAAGCCATAGGGAGAGAGCATTAAAGTAGAGTGATTGTAAAATGTTAGTTTAGTGGCTAGACGTTCAATGTTTACAAATATTTGAAACAGGAAGCATGAATGTTTTAGATCATTTATGTTAATATAATATACTGGAATTCGTGTGTCTTTCGATTTGCTATTAGTGTTGCAAATATTTTAATAATATTATCAAAAGGTCACAGATTATGTACACGGGTCACAGGTTATATATTTGTATGCACAGGTCACAGTCAGATACTTGTGTGTCATAGGTTGCATACTTGAGGTCATAGGACACGGACTTGGGTGCACATATCACAAGTCACAGATTTGTGCACACATGTCACAGGTCATGGGCTTATGTTTCCTAGGTCACAGACTTATGTGCGTAGGTCACAGGTTATGGACTTGTGTATCCTAGGTCACATATTTGTGTGCACATGTCACAGACTTACATATACAAGTGACAGATTGCATACTTGTTTCCACAGGTCACAGACTTATATACATAGGTCACAGGAAACAAGTTTCTGCACATACAACACATGTCACATAGTGACTGGTCACAAACCACAGACTTGTATAGTCATAGGTCACATTTTTGTGTCACAAGTCACAAAGTTCTGTGCACATGCCATAGGTCACAGACTTGTCATGTCCAAAATTTCACCTATATTTTCTATTTGTAAAGAACTAATGATAAACTTTCACAATAGTTGTTATCAATTTCCAAAGGCAAGTTTTTATTCTAAACATATGACGGGTTAGACCAACTAACGAACGAAATAATGAAAACTACAATAACAATAGCAGTATCATTTCACTTCATTTTAGATTTGTTTTGGCTAAACGAAAGTAAGTTGCTGTATGTTTTGTAAGAGAAGGGGTTGCAGCAATTATCCCACAAAAAATAGAATGCCGAGCGGCAAGAGGGGTAGTTGGATCAGAGCGGGATTTTGCCTGTGACCACGTCCTTGACAACGTCCACATTTTACTATTTGTTTCCCCTCATAGAATGATCTTTTCTCTTTTCAGCAGATCTTCCCGAACTTCTCTTTTGATTAGGTGCTAGTACGATTATGTCTTCAACATTTTGAGACACAATCCACTCATTTGGATTTCCAATTGGGTAAATAGTATCTTGGTATACATTCATGTATGCCTCTCATGTGTAAAAGTACAAACAATAATCGTATGGATCTTCTTTTGTTATTGCTATCACTGCCAATATGTGTGGACATGGCTTCTGATCAACTTGAAGTATCTGACATGTACAAGTACGTTGCTTTTTATCAACGACAAATGATGATCCCTCATCAGCAAGCGAAAATATTGTCTGGTTGGCTGAAGATACCTACACACAGATATCATTAATATGTCGGGCTATAGAATTGAGGTTATGGTTCCTTTTACAAGTCACATACATATGATTTTATGGAACAAATATCATCTTTACCCTCATATTCTTCAAAACTATGCTCATTTCTCTCATCAATTTCTCGTACTTGGTGGACAAATTTGTGAAGGTATCATTTGTAGTGTCCATTTTCTTATAAAACAAAGATTGTATTGTTTGTTTCAAAGAATCCAATAAAGCTACGATATTATAGTTTTTTGCTACTTTTGTGATCGCATTCACAAATCCCACTATATTAGACGCCATCATGGAATACCTATTGTAGGAATGTGCAGTTGTGACCACCTTTTTGGTCCAACTTCATTTTACAAAGTCAAAACATTATTGAGCAGTAAGATCCACACCAACCACGACATTATTTAATGATCGAAAGTAATATCTCACTAGGTAACCCCTAATCTTCTTGTTGATTGTGTCTAAATATTGCATATTGTACTCGAAATCTGACAAAGTATATGCACAAACAGTTGAATTGAATGCTTGCGTTATGTTGTGACCTGATTTACCAAAATGGGATTTTAAGTTTCATAGGAGACGATATGAACAAATTTCATGACAGGTCCTGGATAAAACATCTTCAATTGCATTCTTTATACTGTTATGACGATTTGATATGAAACACGGTCATTCCCTGTTACCATAAGCATTCTTCAGGTTTTCTAAAAAACCAGGTCGAGGATTTATCATTTTCGTTATTTCCAATCCCAAATGCAAGTATAAATATGCTATTATTTGTATCCTGTGTACATACTATGAATAGAATACCAACCATAGTGTCCATTCAAGTATGTGCCATCAACAACAATTACAAGGCTACAATGGACCCATCCTTGAATCAATGCACAAAGTGCCATATAGCAGTACTTGAATCTATTGTGACTATCAGCCTCTACTCGCGTGACTGTTTCAGGATTTGTCTATTTAAGCAGATGAAAGTAGCTTGATAGCTACCTGAATGATTCTGTTGGATCACCCCTGATTATTTTCAAAGTTTTTTCCCAAGATCTCCATGCTTTAACATAGCTTAACGTAACCCCGTATGTATGTAACATGTCATTACATATATCGTTTTGAGTGTATATAGTACGCGACGACTTGTACTTGATGTAATATAACATGACAGATATTGACACTTGCCTGTGCCATCCTAATACTATATTCGAAGCACATGTGTGACCATCAGTCATCTTTCGAATATTGAAGAGCTCTATTTTCCCAACCTAGAAGACCTACATATCCAACTACAGTCATCATGTGAGCACTTGAAAAGATACTCTTTCTTGTCAGATCAAACTACCACAAATTCAAACATGTTTTGTATGGCAAAGAAAGACGTGTTCAATTTAAGAACTTCCTTATTATGAAACACTCTGCCTTCTTCTATATTCATAGCATCATAAACGGATACAATTGTGACCACATTTTCATCAATGTGACCTGACGGTTCAATAGCTGCTTTACATATATCAGATTTTATATCATGCAATGGAAATACCTCTGCACTAGATTATATGTTAAGTGCAATCGGCTCGATCACTGTAAAACTGGCTGATTCTTGTCCTATTTCTATAGCTGTCACTTCAACATATATGGAATATTTGGAAGGGTCACAATCCATAGATTCATGTACGACAAGGTATTATTGTCACTATTTATTCTAACGGGAAACAAATCAATGTTCAATGTGTAGTTCATTGTGAGAGACACCTTAGTAGGATCTAAACCGAACTCTATCAATACTGTTTCCACAAGCTTTACGTAATAATAATTATGATTGAGCAATACTAGCGTTGAATGTGATCCATATAACAAGCAAACGTGCACATATCCCATTTTTGCAAAAATGTACAAAAAAAATGTTGGTTACAGATACCAATACCGATCACAAATCAGATGGATCTAACAACTATGGTCACATTTGATATATTTTTAGCACAAATAGAAACTATGATTGCACACATAACTCTTGATCACAAATATAAATTTCGATCACAGACACATAACATGATCAGAGAAATAAATCTCAGTCATATATCACACTCACAGATATAAATTTCGGTTACAAATCATGATCGCAGATGCAAATATCTATCATAAAATGAGATCACATCCGCATTCATAATAGATATATCTCAATCAACCACTAATTCATAATACATGATTGTGACCAATCTCACAGTACAACAAACAAATACGCAACCTATAGATTGCAACCCCAAATGATGAGTTCAAAACTTCAAATGTAAACATATAACAAAAATACGTAGAATCACATATCCCCCAAAAATGCAGATTGTAAACCTCTCAGCAAAGTAGAACGATTGCTTGATTTGGGATCTCTAAATTTCGATTATTGTGACAATCGTATTCCTATAACATTCAATTGCAAATTCGACAGGCTGTCATCACGAAGATTTGTGTTGTATGGAAACCTGGTGCTTTTTATCTGATGTGACGACGAGTTGCGATTGAAAATTCTTTTGAAATTGTAATGAAATGCTTATTTTTAGGGACTATATTTAATATATAAACCTTAATTCTTAAATTTGAAATGGTGTATACTAAAAGCCTGACTTATGTATTGTTCCCGTTGGTATAAGGCAACTTAATATTAAAAGAGGTCTCAGGAGATGTAGGCCCAATTCATGTTATATGAGCAATTGGTTACAGAGTTTTCACGAATACGTTCTAATTGTAGGAGGTTGATTGATTATTGGAGTTAATGCTGATGGGAGAACTTCATCTTATCAGTTTGCAGCTACCAATACCTTGGCAATAATTACAGCTGCAGGAATTGATATTAGGCAAAATGAACTGCTAGGACTTAAAGAACGTACTACATACAATCTAAAATAGATAGTAGTGTGAAGACCTAGACGAAACTGTACAATAGGACCAATCTAGTCTTCATTGTCTTAGTGCCCAAAAATTTACATCATCTCAGACATACTGGAAGGCAATTGTTGCTCATCTTAAATAATCTGTTTATGGATGGTTAAACCTGGGTATCTCACTGTAGCACAATTTGAAGAAGGATATATACCTTATCAGTAACTACATCGAAATAGGAACACCATATTTTCTAGCCTTGAGAATGTTTATCAATAATTAAAGAAATATGAATGTGCAAGGATAATTTTTCAAAGTCACTTGAACTGCAGCCATGTTATGTCTCAGCATATGATAATCTTGTCTTGTGTTTATACCTAAAGCTCGTAGGCAGAAATCACTCATTTATCGATAGTTAAAGAAATATGAATATGCAAGGATAATTTTGCAAAGTCACATGAACTGTAGACAGGTTATATCCTAGCATATGATAATCTTGTCTTGTGTTTATAGCTGAGGGTTGCGGGGTGGAAATTACTCATTTAGGATGAAATTTCTTTGTTGCACTTTTATCGTACTTGGAAATATAGTGAAGTAAATTCTTCTACTATATTGTGATCTGCAATTGGGAATTTACATAGACACTATGTTTTTGGAACCCCAAGGTACTAATAAGCATCCAATACTAGTAAAGCTTGAAAGACTTGACAAGGAGTGGGCATCAATAAAATTCTGTTAAGGAACAAGAGGCCGAGAAAAAATTATTAGAAAATAGCTATAAATAAGAGTAGGAAAAATCTAAGCAACCAGGCAAAAATCGGTGAGTAGTAAAGAGTGTGGAGAGAGTGGCACTCTTGAATGGCTATGTGTTTTCTTTCTTTTTCGACTCATGTTCAGCTGCAATCAAAGTTTCGCTTACCCATAGTTCTTTATTTTTCCAGATAGAACCCTAATAGAGTCAAATTGCTACACATGCTTAAACACTACTAGATCCTTTGGGATATTATAACTCGGGCTAGTTTTAGTGTATACCTCCTCTGAAAGTCTTTCAAGATAGTGCAACATCTTTTTTAATTACATTTTAAGGTCTGTTTGACAAGACTTTTTGCTTATGCTCGTACTACATTAGATCCACTTCATCTAAAATAATTCTTATGCCGTGAAAGTATTTTCAGAATATTATCCAACCATATTCAAAAATAGTTTCTAAATCTCAAAAACATCTTTTGACTTTTCAAAATCCCTCTCAAATAGGTCCTAAGATTCATGTAAAATGGTTTTTAAAGTATTTGACACTTGAAGTGTTAACTAATTAACAAGTTATTTTTTTCGTGTATTTACATTGTACTACTCTTTGAGCAATCTAATGAGATATTCTTCTATTAAATACATGAACGAAACAAAAAAAGTTACTCAAGTACCAAAAATCATATATGACTCAACTTTGTATCAAAATCATATATGAACTCACAAATTTGTATTTTATCCATAAATTAATAAATATATGTTGTTAAAACTAACTGAATAATCCACATAGCAAAAGAAGTGTCTACGCGGCAATAATGTGGCTAAAATTCGAAAAGTTAATTACTAGAATGGTGTATATACATTTTACTTGTATCAAAAATCATAAATGAACTTTACCTAATGTATCAAAAGCATACATTAACTCAGTTTTTTTGTTTTTTTAATCAAAATCATATAAGGGCTCACAAAATTGTATCTCATCCATATATGAATTTGTTAGAATTTTAAAATGTTATTTTTCTAATTAAAATAAGATTATGTTTATTTATCACTAATTGCATGAGATATTTAGTTTCTTTACTTGTAATAGAATTGTTTATAATCTCACATTAGCCCCGTTTGGAACCCATTTTTTTCAAAATGCATTTTTCTCTTCTTTTCAACCACATATTTTTCATTAAAATAATATTACACGTAAATAAAAAACTTTGCCTTATTTTTCAACCACATATTTTCCATCAATTTACTATTCCAAAATGCATTTTAAAATAAAAATGACTTACAAACACCCTCATTAATTAGAAACTGAAATATTCTCATTTTTTGTTCATAAAAATAGAGGCCTCCATTTAATATATTATTTATCTCAATTTGCAAGCATAGTCGTGGATTATTTTGGGGTGAAACTTGGGATTTTTTATAGTCTCACACAATCCCATTTTTAGGTGTCCATGGAGGTTAGAAAGGGTGTGAAAAATTTTATATAATTCTACATGATTTTCGTATAGTGGGAGGCCTTTAATAGTATGTTGTTTTTCTCCAAATTTCAAAGTTTTCACATAAATCTTTGTATTGTAATTCTCATTCTTTATGTTTTTGTAGCTTTCAAATAAATTATTTGAACAAGGATCATGTAGGCAAATAAATGTATTGATGTCAACTTCTCAGCA